ATCCATCCATCCATCCATCCATCCATCCATCCATCCATCCATCCATCATCTTTACCCGCTTCTTGCTTTCAGGTCACGGCGGTCACTGGTGCTCATATCCAGCAGTTCGAGAGGTGGGGGACACCTGGACAGGTCTCCAGTCCGTCACAAGGACACATAGAGACAAACGAGACAAACAACCATTCACTCTCTCACTCACACCTAGGGACAATTTAGAGTTACCAATCAGTCTAACATGCATGTTTTTGGTCTGTGGGAGGAAACTGGAGTCCCAGAGAAAACCCACTCATGCACGGAGAGAGATGGCAGCTCTACCAACCAAACCATTGTGCCACCGTTATGTTAATTGGTAACTTTAAATTGTCTCTAGGTGTGAATGGATGTTTGTCTTGTATGTTTATGTCCCCGCGATGGACTGGAGACCTGTCCATGGTGTCCCCATGGACAGGTCCAGATGATGATATTAATTGTGTTCTCCAACCTGCAGGTTCACCCACACTGGTTGAACCTGAAGGTTGGAGAAGTGATACAACAGTGTGCTGGTGTTTGTTCTTTCTAAGGCTCTTTTTCAGTACAAACACAATAACTGCCAAACTCACTGAGCTCGAGACTTTTTTCTGTGGTCCAAAGTTGATTAGCTGTGGCAGCCATCTTGAATAGGGTTGTTTCTAAAATCATTTTAGTCAGATTTCAGAACTTCATTAACATCATCATCTGGTGAGGATTCCTGGTAGATTTCGTTACTGCGTGAGTGCAGCTACAGCGTGCGCTCTCAGGATATTATTACCTGCAGTGTCCCCTCAGTGAGGACTGAATTAGGCAAAAGGGTCTTCTCCTACGCCGCTCCTGTTTCCTGGAATATCTTATAAAAAGATCTGAAGCTCTCGACCTTGACCTCTCTAAGTGTCTTTAAGCATCTGTTGGATTCCTGGCAAGGACCAATGCAGACATGTTCCTGTTTTTAGTTTTCTACATCACTTTATAACCTAGCTGTTTCTGTTCTGTTTTTATATCATTTTCTTTAATTTGTTCTTCTTAATTTGTTTGCTGTCTTTTATGATTGTCTTCTCTTGTCTTCACTCTTTATTAAAATCAGGTCTCTCTTGTAAATGAGTCCTCGGGGCTCAATGGGATTAACTTGTATAAATAAAGGTTGAATGCAAAAAAGAATCTGTACAATAACTCGATCTTCAACAACAGCAGACAGTAAAAAATGACAGAAACAACAAAAAGCTTCAACACTAGAAAACAAGTTATTTTTAATAAATCAGAACTTCCTGGTGGATTTTAAACCATATTTTTATTCACACTTGAAATTTATAAAGATGGAATCAGCTCAGCTTGAATCACATTCAGAAGTGTGTGTGTGTGTGTGTGTGTTACATCATCAGTTGTTATTTTTTGTGTTGTAAGTGTTTTAAATGAGTCTCAGTGAAGCAACATGCATTTCAATGACTGTGTCGGGGGCGGAGCCTGTCAGGTGATAGACAGCAGGTGAGCTGGACTTGTAAAACACGCCCACTCCACACCAACCAGTCAGCTGAGAGAGTGGAAACTGGAGCCCTTCCTGGCTTTATGACGGAGCATTAAGCATTAAGCAGGTGAGGGAGGTGGAGCCTATGTAACCATGGTAACAGCAGAAAGCTTTGTTTTTTGGGTTAATGGAGTTATTGAAGGCAGCAGGTGGAGAATATCAGAGTGAAAAGTTATAGTTTCTTCTTCTCTCCTCAGTGACGACAGGATGTTCAGAACCTGAGAGACAAAAGAAAAATTTTAAATGAGATGATCGACAGCTTCAGATCAAAAACACTCCACATGTTTTACAGTCCTGAGCTAAAGTCCTGAACAACTTTTTATTTATTTTTTACTCCAGACATGATGAGCTGGAGGAATTCTGGGTTTTCAGGTCTTTAAAGTTTTTAGTTCATAACGTTGCACCTCGGGGCGTGAGAGTCTGTACTCAAATGTACATTTTAAATTTAAATATTTTTTTTTGCATAATGTCATCTGGTCAACACATGCTCCTTTGTGTTTGTTGATGTTTTTATGAAGTCATCCAGGGCCGTCTTAAAGCTGTGAGGCGCTCTAAACAGAATTTCATTTTGGGCCCCGTCTCTGCCCACAACAACACCCTAACTTCTGTTTACATTGTTTGTGAGATGTGAAAAATACATTTCCTACAGAGACAGCAGCAATTTTGCTTATCTTGATGATAATATTGCAGCTTCATGCGAACACTGTTGGATAAAAACGATCCTGTAGAAAAAGAAAACAATCATCATCACAAGCTGGCTCTTTGGTTTAATTCAGAGTTAATGACTCTGAACATCCCAAACCTCCACCCAGTGAAAGTCAGTGGAGAAGATCAACCTATGACTGGAGTTCATCTACAGTATTTACCATAATTTCCAGACTATTGAGCACACCTGAATATAGCCACGCCCACTAAACAAATAAAGAAATAAATTTGTACATATATAGGCTGCACGTCTATAAGCCACGAGTGTCCATGTTGTAACATGAGATATTTACACAAAAAGATTTTTTAGACTTTAAATAAATACTGTAGTGTGGCAGCACAGCTACTGAGAGATGTTCAGCTGTTGTTGTAGATCAAGAATCAACCACCAGATGGTGTTTTATAGACTTTATCTTACTGTTCAACACCAGGGCTTAATTTGAACTGGATCCTGCTGGAACAAGATCCGGGAACTCTCCTGTTTTGTCAGGATGCGTTCCAGCAACTGTTTGCTTGGATCTGGCAACTCTCAGTCTGACTAATAATAAAGTTATGAACAAATGTGTCTGTCTTGTCATTTTGGGAGCCATGCTTGAACCGTGTCGCTCCCCTCTGCTGCTGAGACGATAAACAAACTCCGACGACACCTTGACATTGAGAACTTGTTTGACCACGGTGCAGCCAGTCCCTTCATTCTTTGATTAATGTTTTAGATAACGAGGGACCAACACATTAATAGCAGCAGGGTTTGTTGCAGGTGCAGACCACAGTCTCGGTTTGTTGGATCTGAACGGTGGTGTGGTGGTTCTCACCTACTGAGCAGGCTGCTCCGTGGTTTCTCCTGCTGCTTCTGGTTTTGACAGGTCCCTCTGCAAACACAACGAGGACACTTGAATTATCATGTTCTCACGAATTCACATCTCATCCACACAAGCTGATCTTATTTTACTGATTAAATGGTTACTAAAACAAATACTTTGTTTTCTATAGAAATGAATAAGTCTGCGTTTCAAAAAGATAAACGTTTTTAAATACGTAAATTAATGAAAATTACATTTATATTCACAACACACAGAGTGTGAACTTTTACACATTTTGTCTCATTCTGAACACAAAGCAGAGCACGGCGGGAAAACTGTTCCCTGTTTTCACCTTTTTGTTAAAATATAAACCTGACAGGTGTGGCCTGAGTTCATATTTTTCCCCTTAACTCAGACTTAAACACATTAACATGAACTAATTAACAGTCCACTCAGTGTGAATTCATTCTTGACAGTCATTTGTCCCTCACCTGGATGTGGGCCACAGGGGCCCCACCCTCACACCAGGCCTGGGGGAGGGGCTTGTCAGTGAGCACCTGGTGACAGAGCCTCGACCCACAAGGCCCAGTCGGGCTCAGTTTGAATAAACTACATGTGTGAGCAATCCTGTGGGTCCAGCACCAGCAGCAAGGCCCACAAGAGCCCGGTCAGGTGTGCAGTGGGGTGCTGAAGGCGGAGATCTCTGAGTTTACTAAAGCGGGCTCATTTCCCTCCTTTGGGGGGAGGAGCCTGAGTTTGTGCACGAGGTGTAGTCAGGCTCACCCCGATGTACTCTAGAGCTGTCATTTATAAAGCAGGCCTGGGGTCAGGCCCAGCCCAGGATGGGTCGGTGTGGGGCTTTTGAGTGTGTCAGCAGACACACGCGGCTGACGATTTAATTTGGATCACCAGCCATGAGCATTCGGTTGACCGTACGCTAACCGGCCAGCTGAAACTGAGAGGTAGAAGAAAGTCCAGATGGATCAGTGCCAGCGACGTACCTGAAGCTTAACTGGACTCAACCGCTGCGTCAACAAACATGCACGACCGACGAGCGTTAATAACTATATTATTATAATAACTATAATATTATAATAACTATAATATTATAATAACTATAATATTATAATAACAATAATAGCTGTAATATTATTATAACTATAATAACTATAATATTATAACCATAATAACTATAATATTATAATAACTCTAACATTATAATAACTATATTATTATAACTATAATAACATACTATTATAACTATAACATTATAATAACTATAATATTATAATAACCATAATCATCCGCTGACTCTTGTTAATAAACAAGAAATCTTATATCTTCCTTTCTTTGAAATACGTTTTAAAAAATTGTCAAACTGATTTGCTTACAAAAGCAGTAAAAGCTTAAATTTTTTTTTCAGGTTCGGGCCTGTGATCACAGTTAATTGGTGAGTTTCTGGTTGGGCTCAGAAAAAAATAATACTTTCAGGCCGGGTCGTTTTTTTTCGGCCCGACTGCAACTCTAATGCATGCCACGCTGGAACAATCTTCTCGAGAGAGAGACTGGAGCTTGAGTTGGCCGCAGTGAGAGAGCGACTCAAACATCTTCATCGCTCGGGCTGGAAACATTCAGCCAGATCTACAATGGAATGGGCCAAATCAAAGCAGATCTGTGAGGTTTCCAAGTTTTGTTCTGCATTTCCTGTTTCCTCGTGTTTCATTCACCACTCGTGTTCCTCCTCCTTGTGTTCAGCTCCTGTCTCACCTGTCTGTAATCCCAGTCACCCCAGGTGTTTCCCACTCTGTCTCATCAGTGTCTAAAGTCTGTGTCTTTTCTGCTCCTGTGTCCGAGCATCACCCTTCCTATGGCTACATGTTCTGTATCCATCCTGTCATCGCCAGACGTAAGTTCTTGCTGCCCCGTCAGCACTTTTTTTTTTTGATAGTTGACAAAATACAATTCTTACTACTTTTACTCGGAGTATGTCGTTGCCTTCCTGCAGGTGGGTTCAACATTAAGAGCAGATCATGCTAAGATCCATGCATCATGCATGAGCTGCAGACCTTTTACACAGATGAACGTGACAAAATGTCAGTTAGTAGATGTGCACAGAGACAAACCCTGAAGACCTGCAGCAGGAACTGCAGCCCATGGAGGTTCTAAAAGTGCTGACTTGGGGGTGAGTACTAATTCTTGCTGCACAGTTTCAGCTTCATCTTTTGAAGGAAATCCACAGATCATTTCCTTCCACTTCACGTCTATACTCAGTAAAACTCTAAAGTTAGCTGTTGGAATGGGACATACAGTTCAGGGGGATGAATACTTTTTAAAGTACTGTATGCATTATTTTATACACAGCCTTTTCTTTAACATTTATGTTTTTCTTGTACTTCCATGAGGGATATAATAGCTGCAGACACTGTGGAGCAGAGGCAGCGATGCTTCAGCTTCACAACGATTTCATCATTTACACAACATGGCACCAAACTACAGGGCTGTGCTGAGGAGGTTTGATAAAATAAGTTAAAAATCAAAAACACATTTTATTTCCTGGTACCATGACTGTTCTCTCTCAGTAGGGTCAGTTTAGGGGTTAAAAACCTCTCGGGTGCTTTGGTTCCTCCTGGGTTCTGCAGCTACAACTCAACACAGATTATTGGTGACTTTAACCGGAACAAAAGCAGCTTGTGTTGTAGACGGTTTAACATGTGGCTGTTAAATGTTTTTATTTACTGAATGAAAGGAAGTCAACAGTCTAATGTTTCTAACTCGTTCGCACTGAGACCCGTTTTTCTTCCGTACAGTTTTCAGCTCATAAGTCGTTCAGCAATTTTTGATCCATGTCAACGATTCGTGACTCGAAACTTTCGGCTCATACACGATGTTCCTGCTGGGACTATTGGTGTTTGTCCAAATTTTAAGTTTTGAAATATTTAGCATTTTCAGTCACGTTTTAGTCATTGAAAATAAATGGAGCATACTTAGTCTCTCGACTAACATTTTCCTGATTTTTTTTCTAGCATTTTGCTGCTTCTGGCTACTCGTATATTAGTATAACTAGTAACGTAACAAATATATTCTTTCTTTTTGTTAGTGTTTCTCTTCTTTTGGGTCTTAGCTAGCAGTTTGGCTGTTTGTTACTTCTGGCTGTTATTTAACACGTTTTTGCGTTTTTCTAGCATTTCCCTACTTCTGACGCTAATCTAGCCTTTTCACACTTTTTCCATCCATTTGCTACTTCTGGCTTTAAGTTAGCTTTTTCCTGCTTTTTGCCAAAGTTCTGATACTTCTGGCTTTTAGCAATTCCTTCATTCGTCCTCATCAGCTCACACAGACTCATGTTCGTGCTGCTGTTGTTTGGCACATTGTTTTGTACTATTAGTGTTCAGTGTATTCTTAGTTTAGTGTATTTTTAGTGTATTTCTTGGTTCATGTCTTGGATCTTATTACTGTTTTTCTTTATAATTTGTATTTTTGTTGGATGTAACTGGGACCCTGTGTACATAGATTCGTTCCACCTCATGTACCACATGTGATGTGAATGACAATTAAAAATCTTTGAATCCTTGAATAATTGTACTGCATTTTACAATATTTTACCACTTCTCCCTTTCTTCATGCTCCTTTCAGCTTCTTTTTTGCCATTTATTGTTTATTCTGCTCATTTTAGCTTATTTTGTTGTTTCAACTTTTTTCTGATTTTTTGTGTTTCTTGCTGCTCCATCTTTCCAATTTTCAGCCACTGATACATTTTGCTTTTTTGTAATTATTCCACATTAAGCTGCTTTTTCACAAGAAGAGCAAATTGTTCTAGTTCTTTATGTTTTCTGACATAATCTATAATAATAATAATCATTATTATTCAAATTTGCAGCAAGAAAACATCACTAAAACACCTTCAATAAACTTTTTCAAACTTCACCTTTGTTTTCAATATTGCTTTAATTTTTTAAAATTTTCTAAAGAAAGTCCTTCTAGAAAATTATTGGACAGGCCGTAATAAATCTATTGTTACCAAAAATAACAAATAAAAGAAACAAAATATTTTAATTGATGATTTTTTGCAAAAGTCAAGAAACATGAGATCATCAAATGAAGTTAGTTTTTTGTTAGTCTGTTAGTGAAACCATGGTCACATGCAGATGTTAGTTTTTATGCTTTAACATCAGTCAGGTAAAATAAATAATGTCTTAAACTGTCAATGAGTTATTGTTGTTGTTTTCAAAGTTTTAACAGAGAGGAAATATCTAATAAGCAGTTTTATCACAAAACGTTGCATCTAGACAGGAACACATGAGCAGGACTTTGGCAGAAATAAAAAAATAATTTCATGCTGTTGATTAGAGTTTAGTCCCATATCTAGGACGGAGGATTAGGGCCACGCTAAGAAATAATAATTATTATGACTTTATTCTCATAATGTATTAAAAGTCGTAGTATTACGAGAATAAACTTGTAATATGTCCTGGGTCGGCTCACACCTGCTGTGCACAGCCTCCAACGTGAGTCACTGTTTATGAAGTAGTTCGCAATCACTTTTGGGTCACTGTTTGTGAAATATGCCTCCATATACATTATGTCACAACTAAATCCTTCAATGCAGCCATTAATTGCAATGCCATACGGCTTCAGTTTATCATGAGAATCCATGTGCCACAGTTGGGCCCCCTGCTATTGTACTGCTGACATCAACATTAATCATTTTACCGCAGTTGTAAGACTGCTTCTTCTTGTTGGAGTTCTGACAATATTACAGCTTTATTCTGATAATATTACAAGTTGATTCGCATAATATTATGACTTTATTCTGATAATATTACAGCTTTATTCTAATAATATTTACAAGTTGATTCTCATAATATTATGACTTTATTCTGATAATATTACAGCTTTATTCTGATAATATTTACAAGTTGATTCTCATACTATTATGACTTTATTCTCGTATTGTTTCCACTTTATTCTCATAATACTATGACTTTATTTTCATAATACTGTGACTTTATTTTCACAATACTATGACTTTATTTTCGTAATACTATGACTTTATTCTCATAATACTATGACTTTATTCTCGTAATACTATGACTTTATTCTTGCAATACTATGACTTTATTCTGGTATGACTTTATTCTCATAATACTATGACTTTATTCTCATAATACTATGACTTTATTCTCGTAATACTATGACTTTATTCT